AGGTCTTCGCCTAAGCCGATCAAAGACAGAATATATGGAGTGCAAGTTTCAGTGCAAATGGAGGTCAAAACGAGTTAGGGGTGAGGATCGGAGATCAAGAAATACCAAAGAGCGACCGTTTTCGTTACCTAGGATCTATCTTGTAAAAGAACGGAGAATTAGATGGAGATCTCAACCATAGAATACAAGCTGGATGGATGAAGTGGAAGAGTGCATCCGGCGTGTTGTGTGACCGCCGTATGCCACTGAAGCTCAAGGGAAAATTTTATAGGACGACAATAAGGCCGGCGATGCTGTATGGCACAGAATGTTGGGCGGTGAAGCATCAACACGTACACAAAATGGGTGTAGCGGAGATGAGGATGCTTCGTTGGATGTGTGGGCACACGAGAAAGGATAAGATTAGGAATGAGGATATCCGGGGTAAAGTAGGAGTAGCCGAAATTGAAGGAAAGATGAGAGAAAATCGGTTACGGTGGTTTGGACATGTGCAAAGAAGGCCTACTGACGCTCCGATTAGAAGATGCGGCTATGGGACAGAGGTTCAGGGCCGAAGGGGTAGACGAAGACCTAGGAAAACTTTGGAAGAGACTCTAAGAAAAGACTTAGAGTACTTGGATCTAACGAAGGACATGACACAGGACCGAGTACAATGGCGTTCTAAGATTCATATAGCCGATCCCACTCAGTGACTTGGATTTTCCAAGTCTCCAACCGAGAAGTTTTCCTCACTCAGGAAATTAAAGGAACACTACCTCAACCTACATGCTCCACTCACAAAGCTTCAACAAAAGAAAATTCAAAGAACTTAGCGAAGAAGGCTTTGGTGTATTTAACACAATACGTTGAAATGAAGGAAAGCTTATTTATTGATATCCCCGATAAGCTACAATTATGTACATATACATAAGTCAAAATAAACAAACAAGAGGGAGCCTTCACAAAGGTTGCTTAGGAGAAGTCTCAGCAGTCGGTAGAGCCCCAGAAAGAGAAGGCACCGGAGGGGGATCATTCGGAGCCTCAGTACTGGACAGAACCCTAGAAGGAGGAGGCATCAGAGGTTGATCATTTGGAGCTTCATTACGCGGTACAGCCCCAGAAGACGAAGGCAATAAATGCCTTTGGAATAAACCCACAAATCTCTGATGATCAAGTAAAACCTGACCATCAGATTCCTTCATCTGGTCAAGCTTCCTCTTCATGTTTGTAGCATAGTCATGTGCGAGCCGGTGCAACTGTTTTTATTCTCATGCTTGAGCCCTCTAACCTCCTGTTTGAGACTCATCACTTCAGCCGCCAATGATTCAACTTGGCGGGTTCGAGCAAATAGGCGTTGGGCCATATTAGACACAGAACCTGCACACTGAACACTGAGAGCCAGAGAATCCTTAACAGCTAACTCATCAGACCGTTTGGAAAGTAGTCTGTTATCTTTGGGAGTGAGAAGGTTCTGGCCACCACCGCAGCGGTCATATCATTCTTTTCACGAGGAATGGACGCCTCAGTAGAAGGCGGGGCTGCCTCTTGGTTCAAGAACGACGGTCGGAGGGGCCAGATTTTTCAAAGAAGAGAGAAGAGGTCGGAAGTGAAGAATGGTTTTATTGGTGGAGATTCAAGCTTTGGAACTTAATGCCAGACTCAACGGAGCTTTAGAAATCGAAGAGGCGCCTGCTCAGAAATCGAAGAGGCGTTTGCTTTCTCAAAAGCAAGGCTGCTCAAGACAGGAGGGTTCGCTCAGAAATCGAAAGAGGCGTTTGCAAAGCAAAAGAACGAAGGCCGATCTCAAAGAAACGGTCGGCTCAGGCGGGGATTCTTTTCATCGAAAGCACACTTTTCAAAGGAAGTTGTCAAACTTTTCCAAGCATCACAGAGTTTTTGGGTTCCGGACAACTGCCGAAATCGAAATCTCTGACCAAGAAGTAGCAAAGAATGGAAGTTTCATAGAATCTAGTTTGAAGGATTCAACTTTTGGGTAAAAGGAGTACTTAATGGAGAACAAGCCTCCAAATTGCTTATAAAGAAAGGCACTCCTCAGAACGGAGAATCCCAACAGTAAAATCGAAGACAACGCCTGCTCGAAAAGAGGAAAGGGAACAGTACCAGGCTGCTCAATGGCCAGTGGGTCAATGACTACTCAAATAGGCCAACTAGCAACAAAAGACTAGAAAAAACTCCAACAAATTGCTTGCTCCAAGAGAGCTTGCTTGCCCTCCGAATCTCGAAAGCCAGACTCCCAATATGATTACTTTCTCAAAAATCGAAGAGACACCGCTCTCCGAATCTCGAGAGCCAGACCCCCAGCATGATTGCTTTCTCAAAAATCAAAGAGGCATCGTTCCCCGGATTTCGAGAGCCAGATCCCCGATAGGATTGCTTGTTCGAAAACCGAAGAGGCAACACTTTCCCAACTTCAAGAGCCGGATCTCCTTAGATAAAGCTGTCTGTAATCTTCACACGCAACATCAGCTTTCCAGATACCAAAAATCACTTTTTCAAAGTGCTCTGACAGCGTTAAAACATGTGAAGCTGACAGCTCCCACTACCGTGCTATGACCAAGTAGGGTAAAGGAATAGCATTACTACTTGTTGTTAAGGAGACTCCTATATATGTCGACCTCTATCCCCAACGGACAGGCAGACCTACAAAAATGCTCAACCCTTCCTCATATCTGAGAGGGCACTCCCAACGAAGCCTTCGAAATATTCAGATACTTTCTTTTTTCCCCCCGATAATCCCTTTGCAAACAAGCTATACTAGAGCAAGAATAATCTCATATCATCAGGGTTAAAAGCAAGAGTATCCCATATCAAATGCTTTTTCCCCTGTCTTTTTCCCTGGACCTTGTTCTTACCTGCAAGACAAGGAGCAATCAGTCAAGTACTTGGAATCAAGCTTCCAGCCAGGAACTGACTACCTGGAACCCCTTACCTGATTACTTACCTGACATTGCTCTCGAGTACTCATCTTCAACATCTTATGCTTCCAGGGAAGATACCGCATCTGCCTGAGGAACAGATAGGGCAAGGGAGAATGATACAAGGAAGCATGTGGAGACAAGCGTAACAGCACACGTGCCGATACATCCATTACTCTGTCAAAGCAAAAGTATCCTATATCAGCAGGGTCGAACGTACTCTAGATTTGATGGACTTGTTTTGACCCTCAAATTCTTCAGTCGGCCTTATACTCTGGAGGAAACCAGAAAACCCTCCAGCTCAGTTCAAGAATAAGCCTGTGGAAAGTTACTTCTTCAAAAGCAAAAGTATCCCATATCATCTCTTCTCATTTTCTTCTCTTTATCCTTCATGCTGCCTGCAAGATAGGGAGACTGTGAACAATCAGCCGGAGCTATGATTGCTTACCTTGTCTGTCACCTCTTTCAGCAGATCCCCTAGCTCGGCGACTTGGGGGACTCCTACTACATGGTTTGTATCGTGCTTGACCAAGCCTGAAACTACAAGTAAACTTCAAGTGAAATTGATACATTACCTTGTGCATCTCCACCAGTTAAAGATACCACCCCGGGATGGAGGAAGAGTACTTCCAGAGAAGATGCCCCATCTACCTATGAGACAGATAAGGCACGTCAAGACGATACCACACTTCGATACTTAGAAGTTTCGTGATTACGAGATCATTCTCCCACAATATTTCCTAATGTCTTTTGTACTAAATCATTCACTTGTACTCACTAAAGGAGAGCTTGAACCTATGTACTTGTGTAAACCCTTCACAATTAATGAGAACTCCTCTATTTCGTGGACGTAGCCAATCTGGGTGAACCACGTACATCTTGTGTTCGCTTTCCTATCTCTATCCATTTATATACTTATCCATACTAATGACCGGAGCAATCTAGCGAAGATCACAAAAAGCGACCGTTTTGCTACCTAAGATCTATAGTGCAAGAGAATGGAGAATTAGATGGAGATCTCAACCATAGAATACAAGCTGGATGGATGAAGTGTAAGAGTGCATCCGGCGTGTTGTGTGACCGTCATAGGTCACTGAAGCTCAAGGGAAAATTTTATAGGACGGCAATAAGGCCAGCGATGTTGTATGGCACAGAATGTTGGGCGGTGAAGCATCAACACGTACCAAAAATGGGTGTGGCGGAGATGAGGATGCTTCATGGGATGTGTGGGCACACGAGAAAGGATAAGATTGGGAATGAGGATATCCGAGGTAAAGTAGGAGTAGCCGAAATTGAAGGAAAAATGAGAGAAAATCGGTTCTAGTGATTTGGACATGTGCAAAGAAGGCCTACTGACGCTCCGGTTCGAAGATGTCACTACTGGACAGAGGTTCAGGGCCGAAGGGGTAGAGGAAGACCTAGGAAAACTTTGGAAGAGACTCTAAGAAAAGACTTAGAGTATTTGGATCTAACGGAGGACATGACACAAAACCAAGCGCAATGGCGTTCTAGGATTCATATAGCCGACCCCACTTAGTGGGAAAAGGCTTTGTTGTTGTTGTTGTTGTTGTTGTTGTAAATGTGAAATACAAAGTAAATGTTAAATTATAATGTTCTACTTCATTCATATACTAAACACAATTCCGTACAATGAAGTTAATCACAGTCTATTGAATTTCAAATGCATTTGAGATAGAGAAACAAAAGCAAGAAACCAACTAGCAGATTGGATTATATTAGATTTGACTGGACTCTCACGAGCAAATGTGTCAGTTGATCTCCAAAAGTCATTGAAATTGATCAAAATTGGTTGTATCAGATTGGATCAATTGGTTTGGGATTGAAACAAGCCATATTTTTGGTAAAGGTTAACAGTTTGGTGTCTAAGATTTATAAAGAAGAAGATAATTGCACAAAAGTTTAAAATGATTCTAAGCTTAAGATCAACACGAAAAGCACCAGCTGCTAATGTAGACTCAAACTTTAGTCTCTACCAATTCTAATTGAGTAAGAGTGGGAGCACCAAACTAAAAATATTCTTTTGTTTTGTGTATGGTGGGGTGACACTAAAAAAATCTTACTATATATCATGACAGCACTTGAATCTTTTTTTCTTTGCCAAACAATTTTTAACAAGAAAAATCATATAGATAGAGTACAATGATTTAGTCGAAGTATAAACCATGCTATGCATGAAAGGGATTGGGGCTTCTATGGGTTCCTATTCACCCACTATAATGTACATTAACAGTTCAAAAATAAGTTTTAACAAGAATGTTGAGCTATGGCTTGTTTGCGATAATTACAGTTTTCTTGGTACAAAATTTTTTGAACAAAAGAGGGGGGGGGGGGGGGGGGCAGAGTGCTGAGAAAATCTCACATTCCTTGACATGAAATTATGGGTCAGCTCCAACATCAGTTGTTGAACCAATCCCCACCTGCAACCATGGTGAGGAGCCCCCACTGTTGGTAATATCCTTTAGTTCACTTAGCTTTGCTAACTTTGCCTTACTGTCTGCTTCATCAACCGCATTCTGCATTGACACATCACTGCTGTTATTATTGTTGTTGTTATTATGATTATAGCCGTTGTTGTTAATGTTGTCATTGTCGTTTTGGTGGTGTGAGTGGTGTTGAGGATTGTCCTCCTCCTTTGTCCCAATCCATGGCTGTAAAAAGAAATTTGTAGAGACATCCAAGCTTGATGGATTAGGACGCTCTCTTCTACCTACTCCATTCTCATCCATTGGAGCCGGTAGGTTAAGATCAAGCTTCAGATCAAGTGGATCCGAAGCATCAAACATAGGCTTTTGGTTCATCATTTGTTGCTCCAAACTCTCTTGAAATTCATGGAACTTGGCTAGAGTATACGTGTTTGTCGTGGAGTTGGACGTGATCCAATGACACCTCTTGTGCCCACCCAATGCCTGCCCTGATGAGAATATACGATGACATATTGAACATTCATGCACCTTCGATTTTCTCTTCGAGGTATAAGCTGATGGAGTATTAGACCCATGATCGAATTGTAGGGTTGAATTGGATTTATTGGGAAAGAACTCTTCATGTGTGATGACATCATCATCAGCCATACTATCTTCGAGGTGATCAAGCCTGGCGGCAAAGCACCCTTTAACTTTCTTGTGGCTAGCCCTATGACCGCCCAATGCTTGGTGGGAATTGAACACTTTCTTGCATGCTTTACATTCGAACAAGGCTTTATTAGCGACCCCTTTCAACTTATTGTTGTCAATTGTCAACCCACGTGACATAGGACTCATTATGTTCATAGGGTTTCTTCGTTCCTCCTCTTTGCTAGCCGAAGCACAAGACTCTTCTGGTTCTACCTCCATTGGATCCACCGTGGCATTAGACAACATCATTAAGCAATTGGCAAGGTCTTCTTCCTCATTTGATGGGCAATGTGGACTGAAATTTCCCACTTTGGCTCTAAATGATCTCTTCCTTTTTGACCACCCACATCCTCGCCGGCGGCCACCATTCCCATCCTCCCCATCAGAGCCTGGCGAGGACACAAGGGACTCTGCATCTACAGAGCTACTACATTTCCCATGTTCAAGGAAGGATTTCCAGGACAAGAATTCTTTGCCACAATTCTCACAAACCCGGCAGCTTTTGAGGCGATTTGGGTTTTTTCTTAGGGCATACATGCACTTGTTGGTGGAGGGTACATTGCCGCCAAGTTTATCCTCCCAATCACTAGGAGGATCATCGTCGTCGATGTGACCTTCATCCCCTATTCCATGTGCCCTCATGTGCCCTCCTAACGCTCTACCACACCCAAAACCTTTCTTGCAAATTTTACAGAAATGTTTGAAGCTTGATTGCTGGTCGACAATCAAAGCCATTAATTACAAAAAAAAAACCAAAATCAGGTGAAAAAACAAAATTATAGAGGAGAGATGGATGGAGAAAGATGGTGGTCATAGAAGTGGGTCAAGAATGGAAGACGGAAACAAGGTGTATGTTCTTGTAGTGGAAAGAATTGTGGGGTTGCATGGCGATAATTAAGAGGTCCTAGTTTTTAGTTGAAGTGTTGGTTTGGATTGATTTTGTGAATATGGGACAAAAAGAGAGAAGAGGGGGGGGGGGGTGTGGGAGTTCTTGAAGAGCTGGGGGATGTGACGACATTGTGACAAGTGGACGGAGGGTTAGATGGTGAGAGACTTTTTCTGTGGCGGTGGCGCCTCCGAGTCAAAGCTAGAACCAAGGGATGGACGTCCGTACATCAAGAGTAGGTTTTGTTGTGTCGGGTTCGTACGAGTGAGAGACTTAGCTAGAGAAAGAGTTGTGTGTGTGTGTGTGTGTGTGTGTGTGTGAGAGAGGGAGTGAGAGAGGAAGAGAGAGTGGTTATAACTGCCATACCTATTCATATCCCTTCATTTCCAAGCCAAGAAAACTAATCCATGCTTCTCCTTCTCTGTCGGTTGGTGCCACCTGCTTTTCCACACACAAATTCTTTTTCTATTATAAACAAACCTTTCACCAAGGTTGTTTTTTGTTTAGCTTTATTCTGACTTTCTATTTTTTGAATTAAAAAAAAAAGGAACTTTCTATTTTCAAATTGCACAAAGAGAGACAATTACTTTTGGTTTGATGACGAATGGCAAAAATGCATGTACATTTCTATTTTTATGTTTTCTTAATGGGGTGTGATATCCACAATTCCATTTTTACTTCTCACACACTTTTGTAATTTTCGGCCATCGGATTGGATGAATTGAAGAAGATCAATGGATATAAATTAACAAAGAGCGTGTGAGAAGTAAAAATGAGTGTGTGGATAGCACACCCCTTTCTTAATAAAGTTTTTTTTTCTTTTGCTATTTTATAAATTTTTTTTCCTATTTCTTAACGTGGAGTCAATAGTAAAAACCTTCTTATCCGTACGTACTGTCTGTGGCCGGAGTGTTAGGATCTCAAAGTGCATATATATAGGAGCTAGCTTGTCGTGAATCAAGTGATAAACTTAGTGAGTTTGATCTGATTGAACGCTCCGACTAACAATAAACTTACTATTCAAACCCTTAAACTGCTTTCCTTGAGAAAAGTACTCAATTATCTTTTTTTGTAATATCATTGGAGTCAAAATAGTAAGCTCAATCTCTTTTTATAATATCATTGCGTAAATATTATTTTCTTTAGGGCCAAATGACAGTATTTTATAATGGAATAAAAATCTTTGCATTCGACGCTAATATATCACGTCTTTGGTGCAATACGGGAATGAAAATTTGAAGATTAATTTTTTTGTACCATAGCTAAATATGTTCAATATTGTCGCTTACTACAATTAGTGGTGTTCTTTATCACTTGTAAATGAGAGATCTTATATTCAAATCTGGTGAATAACAAGTTAATTTGTAACCAATTTATTATTCTCACGCCTTAATTAATGTAAATATATTGATGATTCAAAAAATTATGGTCAAAGTTTTTAGTTTAATGCGTGAATTCGAGCCAACTAAAAAGCAATATTATATACGATAAATTTGTAGGAAATGTACGATATATATATATATAGTGATGTAAAGTGAAGTGCAGTCTTAATTTTGTTTCGCACCAAACCCCTTTTGATGTTAGAACAGGTATGCAGTTGTGTGGGCTCTCGGCATAATATGTATAGTAATAACCCTTTAGTTAGAGCCGTCTCATTAGATCTTCACCATTTTGTTTACCCTAATTTCCCCTTATAATATTATCAGGTCAGCTTTGTTCTGATGCCAACATTTTATAATTATATTATATCAAATAAACAAAAGAAAAACTAATGAAAATGGTTTGAAAACTTTAAGTTTTAACGATAAAGACAAAATAAAGGGTAAAGTGAATAGTATTAGAATTGATTTTTTATGTAAAAATGTGGTTTTTCGTTATAGTAAACAGTATCGGAAGCTTTTCGTTAAAGTTCCCCTAAACAAATGATCATATAACTATATAATTTAGATCAATACGTAAATAGAGAATGAAACCATAAGCATTCTACGTAATGAATTTAAACTATGTTATCGAACAAGCATTATTTATGCCTGAAGTGCTTTTGGAATATTATCTTCTTCTTTTTTCTCTAAGAGTTTCTACGTCCTAAATAGTTGAGATCTCAACACTCCTTGCGGGTCATGAAGGTGCACGCATTGTTTGGGCTAATTACTTAGTGAAATCTTGGTTAAGTAAAGACATTGCTTTCAATAGTGAAGTGGGATTAGTCAATCAATCATTTCGAGTTAGCCTATGTGGCGCGCAAGCCGAGTAATTAATAAGCTAACTACGTCATTCGGTTGTATGCGGAGCGTGCCAACTCGTCGGCCAAGTTCAGCCAAGGAGTAAAATATGTTGATGTGGCATTGGGCGCACTGCTAACTTCTTGATCTTGCGACTGCAGCCGAGGAAGGAACACGTCTCGGCCTTCGGGTTCTAGAACCTAAAGACAAGGCTTCTAGTTTCTTCGAAGTTCACAAATTGTCGGTGCCAGCTTTGGTCTTGGCAATTATATTCGTGAGAGTATAAGTACGCCGAGTTGGTACCAAACTATACGAACACAAATACTCGAAAGAGATAAATGTCTTGATTGTAAATGTGGTTCGGTCGTCGAAATGCCGAACTCGAAAATGTACTTGCGAATATCAAATCATAAAACAAAACTCGGCTTTCAATGTGCCAACCCTAGTAACTTGGTAACACCTCACTTCACTGAGAAGGCTAATGAGATGACCTCTACCAACAAGGACTTGGAAATCCTTATTAACCGAGACTTGGATAAATAACCAGTGGGTCTCGAAGGAGTGCTATCTATCCAAATTGAAGGTGCTCCTCAGCCAGCTGATTCTAAGGCTCCAGTGCTGTCTATCCAAACTAAAGATGTCGCTGGTTGCCTTCACAGTGCTGTCTATCCAAACTGAAAATGTGTTGGTGAGAAGAAAGGGGAAGAGGAAAAAATCTCAGGGTTGTTGAGAAGCTTTGCGCAGGGCAATTTGTGTGTTGAATTGAATGGGTTTTGAATGATGCACTCCCCTCTCTATTTATAGCAGCGAAGCCCCTTATGGCCGAACTAGAAATTTACTCAGACTAAGACTCATCAACCCAACCTGATCAAGATTCAACTAATCCTAACCTTTATAGGACTTTGAACTAAGCTTCTTAACGAACCAGATTCATCCCCTAATTTAAGCATCCTTAGCTTTAAGACTCCTTGTTGCACTAGGGTTTGACTACCTCACCTTTATCTAAACCAATCCTCTTCATAATAGGTATTAGCCAACCCTGACTGGACAACCTATGACAAGATTCTAGATGGATGTTACTGGACTGAGAACGACTCTATGCTCGGCCCAAAATATTATTTTAGGCCCAAACATTGCCCCCTCGCTTGTGAGGTCTTAAGTCTATAATTCCTGGCTGAGCCTTGACCTTGAAGAAGTGATCTATTGCCAAAGAATAAACCCTTAGCATATTCCTTCTACTAAACCAAAGAACATTGCAAACCTCGAATACTCCAACCACCCATACGCATTTATTAAGCACGATCTCTTACCCTTGTCAATTTTTGTAAAACGCTGCAAAACTTGACATGTGGCAACTCCTCATCACGATTGTCCATCTTCAATAATGTGTACCCCCACATTTGAGGCGTGCAGACGCCAAAATGTCTTTCGTCATAACCTTTCCTGATACACACAATCGTGAATCCTTAATTTGCGTGCTTTTCAGCCTTTTCACCTGGATTTTCAAAGGTTCGTTATGATTGTGAAATTCTTCGATCAGGTTTACCCCTCATCTTTTAAAACTAAATTGTTGATCTTCTCCCCCAATTGCCTATAAATACTTTGCCCAGCTTCATTTGACCTTTCACGCTTTCAACTTTCAAAAATTCTTGCCATTTACTCTCAGCGCAGAAAAAGAATGCAAACTTCGAAACCTAGAAAAAGTCTCCAAACCTTTATCAATGGCCTCCAATACTTTCATTACCAAGCTCACCGAGGAATGCAAAAAATGCCAAGACTTCATCGATCGGAATGCCATCAAAACCCTTTGATTTGAGGGTGATTCAAGCGCTTCTTACTAGATTCTGGGGCCATTCTTTAAGGATAACGTCCCAGAAATCATCATCGAAATGTTGAAAGCCCACTGCCTAAAACCTTTATTCCAAGTGTATGATTGGTCGAAGTGGAAATCGATCAAACCTTAAGGAGCCTAGCATTTGACCCCCGTGACCTAGGCTGCTTGGGTCACCCGAATGAGGCCACACTTCGATGATGACTGGAAAACTCTCGGTATCTTTGACGCTATCAAACTTTAGACCCTGAGCTTCTGGTGTTTGGCCACTAATACTATGCCATCATCTCCAACCTCACTTGGTGCTTGGCTGAAGCCTCTGTTGTGAAAATCGATCCATACCAGAACAACCCACTCTGGGTCTTTTAACTCTGGCTGCAGGTCTACTTCTCCACGCTGATGCCAGAAATCCCAAGCTTCAACTATTCTGAAGCGATAGGTCTTCAACTGGCCTCGCGTCCCATTCCTACTCACTGAGCCGAAGACAGCTTCAAATATTTCTTTGACCTTGAAGATCTATTTGATGACGAATTTCTAGTGTGCCGTCGCCAGAAATATCTATCTTCTATTAAACTCCCAACATCGGCGTGGGAGGAAGCAAAGGAAGCCGACCTTCGACAATCCTAGGGGTCGTTTACCCTAGCTTGCGACTTTCCCTTTGGTTGAGATGCTCGACATGGTAGCTGGAAGGCCTACCATCCCCACTCTATGGCTCGTCAATTGGGCTTTCTTCAGGGCTATCCTATGCCACTCCTCACCTTTCGCTAACTTTTAGGCTGAGAACGCCTCTTCGGCTCCTCGAAGAGGGAATGTAAGGAAGCCCAGCAAGAATTTCAAAAGTGATGTACCAAATTCCGTCTTCAGTTGAATACTCCAGAAACCTATTATACCAGCACCTTCGGCAATTAGTAGGATGCTTATATCAAGGATTTCTTCCGTGCTTCAGCGAGGAAACTTCAAAGAAACATTTTGGCGATCGACAAAGGAAGACCCTTGCTC